GTTTCAGAACAGCATGTGTTTTGTGTGCATGGCCACACAGTGGGGCCAACTTGTTAATTCCATCTGTGCTTAGTCAGCAGCTTACACACCGGGTACTTTTCCTGGGTAGTAAACAAGACAATGTTTGGCATTCACAGTGCTATGGCTGATGTAGCAGCATCTCCTGGGAACTCAGGAGTGATGCAGAATATCAAGCTTCACCCTAGACTTGTTGCATTATCAAAGTTTGACCCATTGACCCACTTACGCATGATTTTTCTTGCTGCTAATATGGTCTGAGTATGCCATTTCCTCCATGGGCTTATGTGTTTGAACACCTGGTCCTCATGTAGCAGTGATGTTTGGGGGAGATTGTAGGACCTGTCTGGCAGAGGTGGGTCATAGTGGGGGACAGTTCTAGCCTGGCTCTACTTTTACTTCCTGGTTGGCTGTCCTGATGCCACCTCACACTCTCAGCAGTGTGAACTGAATCACACCCACTCCATGCCTTCCCTTTCTGATGGTCTTTTGACAATCTCCTGAAACTGTGAACCAAAATGAGTCCTTCCTCCCTCACATGAGAAGAGAAGCTGATACAGAGTCATGTCTACTGAGTGTCCACAGCACCCTTTCCTGTGTGGTGGGGCTGGATGGTGTGTTACAACATTCTTCTTTATATATTTCTTTGCTATTGAAGTATTGAAGTCTTTCCCATTGAGCCTAGTCTCCTACTTACAAACAAGGATGGGAAGATGGCAGAGGAGCTTATGACTCCTGCTTCTGCTTCTTTGGCCCATCTTGGCTTTGTATTGGCTGGATCCTGGGGCAGGAGTTGGAGGTCAGCTGTTCCTCATGTAGCCAAGTACAGAAGCAAGGGAGGGACACCCTTTATGCCCATAGCTTGGTCTGGGGTTGCAGCCACCACCATCACCTGAGGAATGTGGCAGGTCTGCTTGGCTGAGTTCATAGTTATTCTGGCTGAATTGGATGGTGACTAAGACAGAATCTCACTGTGTCACTTGAACTGTCCTCAGACTTGCCCTCCTGCCTCCGCCTTCTCAGTGCTGACATTACAGGTTTGTGCCTCCACACCAGACTTCTAGCCCAGCTCTTGCGTGAGGTACATGTGGGGAGACCTGGGCCATCAGCTACTGTAGATAACAAACCTATGTCATCTCCTACGGGGTGTGCAGCTATGAGTACTTTTGGGCTGATTGAGAGTTACGGGCTTGCAGCATAGTGAAGAGCCTTCTACCCCAGGTCTGGAGCATTCTGGCATGTGGAAGAAGGGCTTTTGGTTTCCTGGTTCTCTTACTTTTGTTCTCTGTTGAATCTGAACTCTGGTAATATGTCTGAGCCAGGTGTGGCGCTGCAGCAGCTGCCTATGGCATAGCACTACGGCTGAAAGAGGCTAGACTCAGGAGGAGGTGAATCAGGCTCAAGACCAAATGCACCCCACAAGAGCTAACTTTGGTCAGGTTTGGTATCTTATTTGGGCTTAAGTATTTAAATTGGTGAGACCTGAGAACTAAGTATTAGATAGACCCATGCATCCTACATGCTTTGAACTTACAGATTGGTGTCACCATACCATTTCCTGGTACTTATTATAGTCAGGCTTTTCTTTGGACTGCCAGCTCATGGAAAGACACAGAGACTTATAAAAGGTCAGCCTTAGCTTAGACTTGTTTCTAACCAGCTCTTGTAACTTAAATTAATCCATTTCTATTAATGCTTTATTACCTCATCTTTGTTTTGTTCATCCTGCTTGCTCTGTGTCTCCGCCTTCCTCTTCCCATCGTCCTCTTGGCTCAGAAATTCTGCGTGGTTTTTGGCCATTCAGCTTTTTATTAAACCAATCAGAGTGACACATCTTCACAGTGTACAAAAAGAATATTCCACAACAGCCTATAGTTTTTGAATGTCTCCCAGAGACCCATGTCTCTGACCTACAGCCCATCTATAACTCTGGTTTCTGGTAAAATGGGAAAAATAAGGACAGCTCAGTGAATATGCAGATCAGGTTTGTGCCCACCCTTCAGGATGAAGAGCTGTTTGCTCGAGTCTGGAGACTATTACCTTCCTGTTGCCACAGCTGCCTTAGTTGTGGTGACTGAGGAGGCGTCCTTCCAGATGGATCAGCCTCAATTGAATGTCTCATCAACCATCAGAGACCACAAAATTGCTTCTCCCCAATTCATCCTTGGATCTGCTGGTCCCTGTTTGGCCACCAGCTCTGTTGTATGACTTTTCCTAAGGGGACATAAGCAAATGTCTATTAACGCCAGGCAGTTAGGGCATTGATGACAGAAAGAAATTACTTCACCCAAACCTAGCTTAGTGACCAGTGGGTTTATTGTGGTTACTTACAAGAGTGTGGGTGACTCAAAACCTTGCCCACCACATCATGGATGACAGCTCACAAAAGCGCATCCACAGCTCCTTCCAGGCAGCTCCACCAAAGTCTCCTCTCTCCTAACAATTGTTTGCTTATCTGTATAACTTTGAGGAGGGACCTTACAAGTCTTGTAAATTTGTGACCTTCTTGAGCCTCTAATTTTAATAAGTTTTCTGAGTCTTCTGGGCCTCCCTCTTTCCTCCAAAGGAAATAGCCACACAACGGCTTCTGTCAGATGTTTTGTTACAGTGATAAAAGCAAGTATGTCACTGTCAAGCTTTTGTATGACCATCTTCATCTTACATGCCCCCTGGAGAGCTGGCTTGCCTCCACTTTGCTGACGAAGAAACTGAGACTCAGTGATGAGACTCCTCATCAAAATGGAGTCTGACTTTGAGCCCAGAACTCTTGAAAGTGTGCATTGTGAGGCTCAGACATCCTGTTGACAGTGAGTCAGCTGCCACCGAAATTGGCATCATATAGACAGTGGGAACATGTAGGCACTTTACTGTCTGTTCCTAAGAAATAGCCTTTTTCTTCTTGGAGGAGTGTGGGTCCAGCCTCTCAGACAGGAGGTTGGAGGGATGCTCAATGGGGCTGCTACCTGCACTTAGCCATAGATCTCATCTTCTGTCTCTAATCGACACTCAGAGCAGACAACACCATTAACTAGAAAGAGCATCACCCCCCAGGGCGACTGGGCTTAGCAGGACAGTAAATCAAGCCCAAGTTACAACTGTTTCTGTTCAAACTGTTTGTACAGCAGGTGAACAAAATGAATTTCTTTAGCGCAGGAGTCTGGCTTCTGTTGGGAGAAGTGACAGCCTGTGGCAGAGAAACATGCCGTTAGGTTGATTGAGGTCATGGCTTCTAGAGTCCACATGCCTAGGCCTCCCCTCAGTACTAGATTTCCTAACTGTGTGAGCTTGAGTGAGTCACTTGATCCTCAAAGACCATCCACAAAAGGCATCATACCTGTCTATGTCAGGACTCCTCAAGACCCTCCCATAGTCATCATTTCCTAGGACTGTTGGAACTCAGCATATGGTCATCTCCAGGACTGTGACTCATGACATCAAAAGGATGCAATGCAAATTCAGTATCAGCAAAACGTGATGGCATTGGCACCCAAAGGGGCCCAAGCCTTGGCTTTCCAGAGTTCTCTCTTAGAACACTCATGCACGAATCACTCAGTTCATCTGGATTTCAACAACATGTGTGAGGGGCTGCCCACCAGGCAAGCTCATTTCAGACTCAGCACCCAGTTTTTGTCAAGGACTGACCACCTGGGTACTGTCTTAGTCAGCTTTCCCACTGCTGTGGTACAAAAGCAGCTTAAGGAAGGGCTCCTCTTGGCTCACAGTTGGAAGCTGCTATTCCTCGTGGTGGGGAAATAATGGCGGCGGTAGCTTGAGGCAGCTGATCACATTGCATCTGCAGTCAGCAAGCAGAGATGATTTCCAGTACACAGCTCCCTTTCTTCTTTGCATTTGTCCTAGGTTTTCCCAGCTCACTTATCTAACCTAGATGCTCCCTCACAGACATGCCCAGAGGCTTGTCTCCTAGGCGATTCTAGATTCTGTCAAGTTGACAGTGGCTGTTAACCATCACAAGAACCCACTGCCTCATATGTTTCCAGACTCCAGATTCAAAGGAAATGCAAATGTTAGCACAGACTAAATTGGACAATTTGTATAAGCTCTCAAAGAGGTAGGATGCGCCCACTAGTTCTGAAAACCACATTCCCAAAGTCCAGCCAAGCAAGTGTGACCTTCAAGCAAGTCTTTGGAAAGGTGCAGCCTTGAGAGTGTTCACTTTTCTGCATGTTATTCCATTGAGTGGCTGCTAGGTAAATTAAATGAGAAAGTCTATGCAAAATCCTTGGCACCCTGCCTAGTGTGGCAAAGACTCCATAAATGCCAGCAGCAATTGCTTTGATATCCAGGGAATGTATTTTGACTGGCTCTTCAGCTTCTAAAGAAGCAAGCCCTGTGTTTGCTTGCTTGTATCTACCATCCATCGCTCACCCCCTCACCTATGCATTCCTGTTTGTCATCTGCTACAGTGTGCAGCCTATGCCTAGCCTCCTCCAGAACTTTGTGTGCACATGTGATGGGGTGCTGACGTGTGTATGAGGGCACATGTTGTGTATGTGTGTTGGAGTGTGGAGGTCAGAGGTCAACTTCAGTTGTTGCTCTTCCGTAGCTGTCCACCATGTTTTTGAGACAAGGTCTCTTACTGGTACTTAGGACTCAGCCATTAGGCTAGGCTGGCTGGCCACTGAGCCCCAGGTTCATGCCACTACAGTCAGATTTTTTATGTAGTTTCTGGGGATAAAAAATCAGGTCCTCATGCTTGTGTGTCAAGCATTTAACTGCCTGAGCCACCTCCCAGGTTCCTTTTAGGACTTTTGAAGCAGTGTGATTGGCAGCTCTAGAAAATGCTGCACGTAGGTGTCCATGCTGGCTGGGCATTTGACAAGTGATGGTGGTAACATTTCCTTGGGAACATCATGCCAAACCTGAAAGGACTCATTCGTACATGCGGAGTGTGTGGGATAAGGAGGCTGTGGCCAGAGAACTTCATCTCCTGATAGCCCTCTGTGTGTCTTTTCCTCCTGCAGCCAAAGCGAAATCAAAATGTGGCCCAACCTTTTTCCCCTGTGCCAGCGGCATCCACTGCATCATCGGCCGCTTCCGCTGCAATGGATTTGAGGACTGTCCTGATGGCAGCGACGAGGAGAACTGCAGTAAGTTCTGGGAACTTGGGCACAGTGATCCCTGCTTTCTCCTGACAGCGGGACTTGTCCTGACTCTCCTTTCTGTGCTTCTCACATCGGATGCTTGGGCATCCCCTGTTGTCACTCATAGTCTTCTTTAGTACTTCCGGGCATGTGACTCTGTTAATTCTCAGGTACTGTTTGTGGAGGGCCATAGCAAGTCTGCTGCATCTAATCGGTTCACATGTCCCTCTGCAGATGCATGTGAGTTGTCGCAGTGCATAGGTGAGGAGCCTCAACTGGACAGGTGCATTAGCTTCTCCAGGGCCATATAGCTCCTTTAAACCTTATCTGGTTGACTGTCTCAACACCCCATATTTTTGTACTTGCTTGCTTCCCTTCTTTGAATGCTTTAAAAACATTGATTTGTTCATTATATTCTATGAGAGTTGGAGGGTGAGCTCAGCAGTTAAGAGCTCTTTTTGCTCTTGTAGAAGACCCAGGTTCAGTTCCCAGCTTCCAAACAATCTCACAGCTATTCACAACTCCAGTCCTAAGAGATGTAACACACTCTTCTGAACTCCAAGGGCACCAGGCATGCATGTAGTCACATACATACATGCAGGCAAATCATTCATACACATAAAAAATTACATTTTTTGAAAAAATTAAAATTATCCTTGACTGTGACCACTGTATTTTTGACCTGCTATATAATATTCCATATCAATACACAAACATACAGATACACAAACGCACACACACACACACACACACACACACACACACACACCCAATCTCCCACACCACACACACACACGCCCCCACACACACACACACACCCACACACACACACACACACCTGCACATGCATGTTTGCATAGTCACTCCAGCTCACCCTGCCTCTCAGCAGTCTTGCTGTTGGGTTTAACCCTCCTTAACCTGAATACATGGAGTCTTCTCCAATGTTTCTGGGACCACAGTGACCTCATACACTGCAGTGTCAGGATAGGAAAGGTCAAGTCAGCTTGTTCTCAGCTTCCTGCTGTCATGGAACTTAATGACATGAGGAGAGAGAGAGAGAGAGAGAGAGAGAGAGAGAGAGAGAGAGAGAGAGAGAGAGAGAGAGGAGAGAGAGAGAGGAGAGAGAGAGAACAATTAATCCAATGTCAGTAAAAATACATGTGATATATTTTAAGATGCACATTCAGCTTAGCTGAGCCCTCCTTATTGCTTGCCCCTATAAGATTTACATGTGTGGATATTGACCTTTAATCTCTAAGTGAATAAATGGCATCCATGCCAGATTATGTCAGGGGGTGGGGGTGGTGTAAGCTGATGTTTTCTTCTCATCTACCTTTTTAAAGTTATGATCCAGTGTCCTATCTTGAAGATTGATGTTTTAAAAAATTGTAAATTTATCTACCGCTTGTTTTGTACAGTGTGTGTGTGTGTGTATGTGTGTGTGTGTGTGTGTGTGTGTGTGTCTGTCTGTCTGTCTGTCTGTCTGTCTGTCTGTCTGTCTGTCTGTCTGTCTCTGTGTTTGTCTCTGTCTCTATCTTTGGAGATCAGAAGAAGTAACGAAATCTCCTGGAATTGGAGATACAGGTGACTGAGATGCCCATCGTGGGTGCTGGAAACCAAGCTCAGATCCTGTGTCAGAGAAGTATGTGCTGGTAAGTGCTGAGCTGTCTCTCTGGCCTCAGCAGTGCTGTTTACAGCAGGGTTGCAGATGACACATGCTCTGTGTTTTCACTCAGGCAGGGATGTTTGTTCCACCCTCCTTCCTAAAAGCATTTTTATGGTGTGTGGTATTCGGGGCTGACAGTCCTTTTTCTCTGAGCACTTTAAGTGTGCCTCTTCCTCAGGCCTCTCTGGTTTCCAATGGGAAAGTCACAGTCTTGAGTTTTTACCTGTGGCTCCTGCATCTCTCCTCTGGCTGCTTTTAAGAGCATTTTGTCTTTAGTTCTCAGCCTTTAAATCTTGGTTTGGAGCATCTGCAAGTCGATTTCTTTGACTTCATCCTGTTTAGGGTTTTCTGAGTCTAGGTTTTGATTTTTGCTATACTTACTATGTTTTCAGCTACCATTTCTTCAAAACGTCTTCCAGCACCAGACTCTTTCCTTATGAGTTCCAGGTGGCAAGAGCATCAGGTTTCCAGCCTCTGTCTCATGAGTCCCCCAGGCTCTGTTCCCTTTTTATCAGTCATTTGCTCCTTATTGTTCAGAGGGATACTTTCTATTAATCTGTCTTCAGATTGCCCAGTTCTTTCCTTTACCACCTCTAGTCTGCTTTCCTTTGCTTTCCAGCTGCTGTGTTTTGCTTTGTTTTAGTGTGTTATTATAGTTTTTTTTTTATTTCTAAAATTTCCTTTTGGCTTTGTCCATCTCTTGTTTCTTTGCTGAGACTTTCTGTTTTTCCATGTGTTTCCAGTGTGTTTGTGATCGCTTGTTAGAGTGTAAGAGATGTGTTACATTTTTGTGACACAGTTCCAATACCTGAACATCTTTATATCAGTATCTATCTGGTTGCTGTATTTCCCTACATGTGTTGAGATTGTCCTGATTTAATGTATGACAACTAATTTCAGTTTCTGTTCAGTCATTTTGTATAGAATACTTACATTTTTGTCTTAGTAGGCACATGACCTAATACACATGTTCCTAATACTTGATTATGGGCTGTGCTGATACAAGCAGACTATGTACCTCCCAGTAGTCTGAGTTCATTCTCAACCTCTTTGTGTTGATCAGGACAGGTAAATACTGTGTAGTGTGAGCCTTCATAATTAGGACAGGTACACACAGGTGCAGTAGGCGGGGCTCCATGATTAGGGCAGGTACATATAGGTGTAGTGTGGGGCTCCTTGATTAGAACAGGTGCATACATGTGCAGTGTGGGCTCTATGATTAGGACAGAGGCATACATGTGCAGTGTGGGGATCAATGATTAGGACAGGTGCATACAGGTGCAGTGTGGGCTCCATGATTAGGACAGGTGCATACATGTGCAGTGTGGGGATCCATGATTAGGACAGGTGCATACAGGTGCAGTGGGTATCCACCTGAGAAGAGTGGTACATATCCATCTGCTTCTCTCTCTTCAACATGGTGGGGGCGTCCTTCCAGTGTCCTAAGGATCCTAAAAGGCAAAGGGAAAATTATGAACTCACCATTGTTTTGTAAGTCATTTAAATTCTGGTCTCCTTCTACAATGGCTACATTGAAATTACTTTTCAGAGTTTTAAAGTGGCTGTTGTACATGTCCCAGCCAACTATGTAACACTGCCTGTGGAAAAAACAGCAGGATGCATAGTTCCTGCCTCTGACCTGCACAGGAATCTCCCGTAAATGAAACTAAGCAGCATCAAATAGAGACCCCTGGGATGGGGGGAGATGGCTCAGCATCATAGAGAGACCCCTGGAATGGTGGGGAGATGGCTCAGCAAGCATACTTGCTCCTTTTGCAGAGGACCCAAGTTCAGTTCCCAGCTCCCTCATGGTGGCCCTCAATTTTTTGTAACTCTAATTCCAAGGAATTTGATGCTCTCTTCTGGCCTCTACAGACACTAGGCAAACATGTAGTTCACAGACATACATGCAGGCAAACATACACAAAGTAAAACTAGTAAGTCTTTTTAAAAAACTACTAAAGCTTAAAAAAGTCAAAGAAACAGCCAGATAATTTATGCCTTCCTGTATGGTGCCACTAGAGCACACATCACCATATTGAGGTTTTACTAAAACCATCCCAACTGCATGGAAATGAGCCTCAAAATCTAACCATTCAGTTTATAGAAAATAACAGTATACAGAGGCAGAACATCAGATCCAGGGTGTGGGAAAATCCTCAGGACCCTTACTCATCCAGAAGGAATTCCAAGATGAAGCATGCAGGGAAGGGGGTCCTGGAAACTGGGAGACTTCAGAGATGAGTCAACCCCATGTCATGTGTAGACTGTCTTCTCCTGACTCTTAATAAAACCATTGTTTGAAGAATATTGAGATTATCGATATCTTGAATTGTGATGTGATATTTGATGATATTAAGGCATCATTGCCAATGTTTAAGGTCTGAGAATAGTGGTAATGTGGTCTTTTTTATCCATATCTTTTAGCAGAGTGTATTATAGTCTATAAAGATTAGACTAAATAATGTCTGTGGTATGCTTCTGCTACAGCTTTCAGGGCAGTTGGATCTAAAATAAATGAATAAATAACACCATGTCCTAGACTACATTTGTCACATAGATGACAGCTTTCTACCTTGTCCCCCAGTGAGGCAGGAAGTGTTAGCCAGGCTGTTCATAGAGCCTCCCAGGGCCCTGCAGAGCTGGCCTGTGTCTATTGTCTGTCTGCATCCAGGTTAGCTTGACTTTCCTTTTGTCTCTTCAGTCAGCCCTTGAGTAAACTAGGAAGAGTCAGCCCTCTTCTATATATATAGACTGGGAGCTGATAGTCACAGTGGGGGAGCTTTCCCCCCAGTGCTCCAAAGTGATGTCCTTGAGTCTCCTAAAAGACTCCCATAGAACCTACTTTCTTGGAAGTACCTGGCTTGTCAAGGCTATGCTGGGTCACTGTCCCACTCTATCCTTGGCCACCTTCAAATAGCACATCATCAGAGGGGTGAGCCCTGAGTCCCCCTGACAACCCACTTCTCCCTACATCCACGCTCCCACTGCTTTACTCTTCTCAATGCTCAGTGCTGCTTCCTCTGCTTCATTGTGACAGTCCCCAGAGGATGTGGGATTGTGTGGCCCACATCCCTGTTCCCAGTGCTGAACGTGTTGTCAGGCTCAGCTTTAGCATGTATTAAGCAAGGCTTTTCAGGCTTTATCTTATGCTCTATTATCTTGTTACCCACCTAGTCTTAGCTTTTTATGAAGAAGGACTCAGTTGCAGCCATTCTCTGTGCCTACCAGAGTCCTCTATTTAGAGGCAATAGTCAGTGAGTGATTTTTGAATGACTGAATCAAGTAATCAAAGGGCTAAATGAGAAGATAGGAAGACTTGGACAGCGGTCCCTCCCAC